ACTATGAGCACTTTGAATATGGCAATATTTTTGTCAATTTTCAAATGCTTTTTTTTCGACCTTAAAACGTTAAATCTTCTTGAAACTTCGCATACAGATGTATTTTGCATGGGTATAAAAAATTCCTGAGGTGTGTCGGTGTGACGTCTTAGTTTTATCTTAAACTTCCAAAAACTCAGAAAAAGCAGCCTAAAACGCGCGGTTTTTCGGACCGTTCATGCTTATGGTCGTGTTTTTTCGCATTTTTTTGCTAATTCGTGATATGTTTGCTTTGCGAATATTAAATTCATTTATAATACTACTGATATAAATTAAATTTGGTAGTATAACTAATATTTTGGGGCAAGATTTTTCTGATCAAAAAATGTGCATATTTTGAAAAAAAAATTTAAAAAAGACTGGGTCTACCTACAAAAAAAGCTTCAAGCACGGCTTCAACTTCCCCCCCTGACTTAGCCTTCCAGTTATTATTAGAGTTCACTGTGGCTACATCATTGAACTATAAATAAACTGGAAGGCTAACTGCTATGATGAAGGCCTATGATTTGATGAAGCCAAAATAGTTTTTCTGAGTTATGAGCAGAAATACTTGACCCCAAACGTCGGGCTATATATCAAATTGAAGCTATTGAAAATTGCTATTCGGTATGGAAATTTCAAGACTTCAGCGAAAAGAAAAATATTTAAAAAATACAAAAACAACTGCAAATCGGCAAATTATCGGTAATTATGTTTGTAGTTTTTCAATATTTCCCTTTTAGCTAAAGTCTTGAAATTTCTACACCAAATAGCGTTTTTCAATAGCTTCAATTTGATATATAGCCCAACGTTCAGTGTTGAGTATTTCTGCTCATAACTCAGAAAAACTAAAATGCATTGGCTTCAATTTCCCCCCCTGAGTTAGCCTTCCAGTTTATTTATAGTTCAATGGGCTACATCAAAAGTTTTTGGCGGGAAAACAAGATGGCGCCCGTTTACTTTGTGTGATTCATAGAAATAGCCGGTCTACTATTTCTTTGGTGTGATTCAAAAGGCATTTTTGTGAACGAAATACCCGCTTATTTTACGTTATAACGACTGGCTAGTTATGGAAATGATAACTCAATATTGTGATGGTATTTGTTAATGTTGTGAAATTCGACCATGGATAAAGAGACAACAATTGGGCTATTCCAATTATTATCCGCACCCCCCTGTTGAGGAACCATGGAATTTCCAGGGGAGGGGGTGTATTACCCTTGGAATTTCCAGGGGAGGGGGTGTATTAACCTTGAAATTTCCAGGGGAGAGGTACATTAACTTTAAATTTCCAGGGGAGGGAATACATTAACCCTGGAATTTCCAGGGGAGGGGGTGCATTAACCCTGGAATTTCCAGGGAAGGGGGCATTCGGGCTCTGGATTTCCAAGGGGAGGAGTAATTCTCACATGGAATTTCCAAAGGGAGGGGTAAATTTGATGGGATGGAAATTCCATGGGAGGACAATTATGTTAGAGGGAAATGTCCAGAAGTAAATGTCCCATAATGGAAATTCCATAGGGAGGGGTAATTTACACATGGAAATTCCATGGACAGGGCCTAATTTAAAATGGAAATTCCATGGGGAAGGGTAATTTTTACAAGGAAATTCCATGGGAAGGGGTAAATTTTAGATGAAAATTTACGGAAATTCCAGGGGAGTACCGACATGAGAAAGGGGTTCCTCAACAGGGGGGGGGTGCAGATAATAATTGGAATAGCCCATTGAATGAAAGAACACCCTGTCTTATTGTAAATGGTAAGTTTTTAAAGGTTTTCACTTTTCGGTAATATTTTTTTATAGTTAGACCCTTTAAGTGGCAATGCGCCATGATGCGCCCTACTTTAGTATTTTACTCTGTCTAACGCCAGAGTATTTTACTCTGTCTAATGCCAGACAATTTTACTCTGTCTAACGCCAGACAATTTTACTCATCAAGTGGAGAGTGCCGCCACTCTATGGGTTAAAGCTCAATCTTCTCTCGAATCTAAACTTTGGTAGAGTCATAGATATCTTATATACACTAGATAGTGCATCTAATTATTCTGCAATTCAAAAATTGAAGCCGTGATTGCAGTCTCAGGTCGTTCCCATGAAATGAGAAGATTCGTATGTTTTCCATTTCTTAAACAGATAACTTAAACATTAAGTTAAACCTATTCCAAATACATTTTTAAACTATTCAAATGATGAAAGTTATTGACTTCTTGTTGTTTTTAAGTGTTTATTAGCAAGTGGGAATTACAACCAATATGGCCGCCATCTATTCAAATGGGGGTAACCGCTGGAATATTCTTGAATTGGCTTCAATTTTACTAAAACAGATGCGCTATCTAGTGTATATAAGATATCTATGCCATGGGTAGAGTCCATCGAGGAGTCCGTAGACAATTTTGGCTAACATTGTTTTTAACTCATGGAGCCGCAATGCGCCCAACTTATTTTTTTACTTGCCTAACGCCAGATGATTTTACTCGTCAATGTGGAAGCTGTGCAACTTAACGGGTTGACCAAAAAATCTGACAATATCTCTTAAAATAGTTAACCAATAATTGAGCCCCAGTGCACCCTACTTGTTTTTTTTTTACTTGTCTAACGCCAGACGGTTTTAGTATTTTACTTGTCAATGGGGAAGCTGCATGTGCAACTTACTAACAGGTTGATAAAAAAATCTGACAATGTTTCTATAGTTAACCCATTGAGCGGCCCATGCAGTGTGCCCTACTTGTTTTTTTACTTGTCTAATGCCAGATGATTTTAGTATTTTACTTGTCAATGGGGAAGTTGTGTAACTTAACAGGTTGACCAAAAAATCTGACAATGTTTCAGTGCCGTAGCCAGAACGATAATTGGGGGGGGGGGGATATTCATATATTCGTGTTCACATACCATAAAAACAATTGATTTCAAAAGAAATTAATAAAGCAGAACATGCATGAATATATGAATATTTGCCCCCATTTATTATTAGTGTTCTGGCTACTGCACTGCAATAATATTTCTATAGCTAATAATGATCTTGTTGCCACCTAATGGGCCACTTCCATTTAATATTCAATACCCCCCAATGGATGTTCAAAAGACTTCAGTAAAATTTTAATCCTAGTAGGAAAAAGATCAAAGCTAGTGCAACACAAAACACCCCTCAGAAATTTGTAAATTTTCCCTTACCCCTCAGAAATATCGCAGAGATCAAAGGTGCCAACAGGCTTAACCCCTCAGAAATAAGTTGCCCTTCAGAAAAATTCTTCCATTTTTTCTTTGTTAGAATTATATGAGTTTGGAACACCATTTAACATTTGTTTTGTTAAAAATTAACTTAAAATATATTCATAATATGTGTATATTCAAAGTTATTTTTTAATATTATATATTTGAAACATAGCAATTAAGACATCAATTTAGATAGCAAGAAATAAAAATATAATGTACATATGCAACTTTTCCAAGGGGTTCCCGCAAGTTTCTTACATATGGAGCATTAAGCTGCAGAGCTTCCCCATTGATGAGTGAAATGGTCTGGCATTGCACAAGTAAAAAAAGTAGGGTGCACTAGAGCGCATTGCGGCTCAATGGGTTAATAGGTTAACTGCACACATGAGCAGTCTGATTAACACATTGAGTGACAGCGCTCTCCCTATCTATCCATGCAAGTTTTTTACAGTTTTTCAGGCATTTTATATAGAGAATAATACATGTGTGTGTCCGTGCGTGGAAATACCAGATTTATTTTGAGTGTTGAAAATGATATCATGTTCAACACGAGAAATATATCTGATATTTCCAAGCACTCATGTATTTTAATTTTTGTTTATTATATAAAGGACAGTCTTTGATGAAAAGCGATAATTTTTACAGAAAAGCGATAATTGAAAAGCGATAATTTTCACATGTGAGATTATCAGTTTTATCAATGCTTGAAATCTCTTTCAAAAACTCATTAATAATTCATATGAAGCAATTATCCAATCTTGAGTAAGAAATTAGTCACGTGCATACGTCTTTATACCAGCTAAAGAACACTTTAACAAAAGACCATTGTTATGCAAACCATATAAAATTTTTATATAAAGATTTTTATATAAAGATTTTTATATAAAGATTTTTATATAAAGATTTTTATATAAAGATTTTTATATAAAGATTTTTATATAAAGATTTGACTTATTATGCAAACGTTTTTGAAGCCATTTAAAAAACTCTCAGGTCATGTTTTATTAGCCAGGTCTAAAGCCACTGGTGCGCTTTAAACCTAACAATTAAAACACTCCTGCTCGTTTTTAAATAGTACATAAAGCACAGACTATACTTTATACAATGTTAAAATGCTGGTAATAAATTGCTTTTCAACAGTTTAGTATTATAAGGCCACATAAAAAAATCTATTTACAGTATTTCACCTATTTAAATTTTTCTGGGTAGGGTGGGCGGGGTTTTTTCTTTTGTAGAATGCAACACAAACTTCTGAAATATAAGTTTTTTTCGCAGCATGCAATACAAAATTCTGTTACAGGGTGTTTGAAAAGCTATTAATGCAGGAATTCCAGCATACCATGTACCACAGTCAAAACTCACTTTAATTCTTTCAAAATCCCTTCATATTTTTTAATACCGTTCATGTTTTATGAATAAAACAAAACATTACAATGGGCTATTCCAATTATTATCCACACCCCCCTGTTGAGGAACCCTGTTCTCATGTCAAGACTTAGCTCCCCTGGAATTTCCACAAATTTTCATGTAAAATTTACATGGAATTTCCTTGTAAAAATTACCCTTTCCCATGGAATTTCCATTTTAAATTAGGCCTTCCCCATGGAATTTCCATTTAAAATTTGGCCCTGCCCATGGAATTTCCATGTGTAAATTACCCCTTCCTATGGAATTTCCATCATATGGGACATTTACAGTTTACTCCCGGAATTTCCCTCTAACATAGTATGTCCTCCCATGGAATTTCCATCCCATGAAATTTACACACTCCTGGGTGCGGATAACAATTTACCGATTTACGCGAACACTTTACCTGCAAACAGGCATATTCTTGGAAGGAAATATTTCATGTAAACGTATTAGATTACATAGCTCCTGGAAGAATGAAATCATCATTTTTTACAAGTAAAACCGTCTTTTTTATAGAGAGTTTTTGCACTGAACTCGGACAGATTTTGGAGGAAAAAAATTGGAGGTCAGGGACTTTTGTCAGGCCGGGCGGAGACACTAAACAAGTAAGTTTTTTTATGTGGCCTAAAACAGATTTTTAAAGAGAAATTCATGGCAACATTGCCAGCTGAGTACATTGCAATATTGTCACGCAATATTGATTGCTCTAGCAAACTGCAACCAACGCGAACAATGTGCAATTTTTAGGTACAGTTGAAATTATTGGGTGTGTTGACAATTTGTTGAGAGGTCTTGCCCAAATGTCAGATGCCAAGCATTTGATTGGCTTGTTTTGTACTGGTAGTCAGCCAGTCAGACTTAATTTACAAACTTGCTTGCAAATCAAATAATGAACTTTTGAATTTTGCAGTTGGCGGTTTAATACTGTTTATATGGTACTCTACGTAAAGTTGCAATTTGTTCATGTCGGTTGCAATTTGCTAGAGCAATCAGCCAGATTCGACTGTAATTAGGGGCCGCGTCATATTGCCATGCTTAGCGTCAAATTGACGTTAAGAGTGGGTGATTCGTGGCATAATGACAATTTTGTGAACATTTTGAAGAATTTGAGGTCAACTCATCATTTGAGGTGAGATCATCAATTCAAAATAATTAAAACCTCGCTATTTCCTGGCTAAAGCATGACTGCCACGCTTGACGTTAATGAGGGTGGGTTTGAGTGTTAACGTCAATTTGACGCTAAGCGTGGCAACACGAATATGGACGCGGCCCCTTACATATGTTATATGTCTAAGTTCATCCTCAAATGAAAAACTGAAGGTTCATCTATCTAAGGTTTACATTCTACAGCACTTAAACAGCTGTTACACAGTGTAAGTTCCAAAGAATTAGCCGTATTTTATACACTTTTAAAGAATAAATTATTAACCAATTACATTGTCTCATTCAATACCGTAAACCTCCGACTATAAGCCCTGAGTGGGCTTATATACTTTCGTAAGCGATTTTTGATAGGCTTATACAAGGGGGGGGCTTATATCCGGGGGGGGGGGCTAATACATGGACGATATTTTGTGTTAGTAATAAATAAGTCAAACATAAACAAGTCAGTCATAAACAGGAAAATAAACATGTATTAATAACGCTCTGATTAACATAGTAAGCTATAAAGACAATGACAATGTTTTTAAATATCGTTCTCTGCTATATTAAAAGACGACATTATGTCAATGTTGAATAACATAGTGGGCCATTGGGCTTATATTTGGGGGACTTATATTCGGGTGGGCTTTAATATTCGGGTGGGCTTAATAATATTTGAGGGCTTATATTTGGAATGAGGAGAGCGTTAATATATGTGGTTGGCTTATATTCGGGGGGCTTATATTGGGGGGGGGCTTATAGTCGGAGGTTTACGGTACACTAATCACACGTACATGATATTTATATTAGTACTTTGAATTACACACCAAGATAATTATCTAAACAATCCTATATCATAATATTGTTCAACCCATTGAGCTGCAATGTGCCCCAGTGTACTTTTTTTTTACCTGTCTAACACCAGGCGCCGGTTGTATCAAGCCCGTTTAGCTTAAACGGTGGTTACGCTCAAAATAGAAAGCAAGTCTATAGAATCATTCAACAACCAAACTAAAAGTTTTGAACTTTAATAGAACGATAATGTTTACAACTACATATTCAGTGCAGAATATTTAAGTTGACTGATTCACGAAAAGAAAAGAGTGTTACTGAATTTTGACTTATCCACTGTTTAAGCTAAACAGGCCCCAGGCGACAACCGGCCCCAGGCGATTTTACTCATCAATGGCGAAGCTCTGCAACTGACAATGGGTTAATTCACTTTTATTAAATCTGTTTGACCCTTTAACTGGGTAATATATGCATCCCGATGAGCCCTATACTTTATTAATTCACTCTGTATGTACTATTTACAGGGATGGATCCAGCATGATCTGGTAGGGGGGTGCTCTGGTGCCGACTGCCGAGTTGTGTCGGTCATGTGTGTTGCCGGCCCATCAACTACTGTATTTGAATTGTAATTGTTGTTCACAGTTCACTTATCATCATGTTATTACTCAAATTACTGTATCTCGATTTCTTTTTTTTGCTTTATCATAAAAAATAGCCCCCAGTGCGCACCCCCCCCGCACCCCCCCCCATAAATCCATCCCTGACTATTTACCCTTGATAATTTATTAACTTCCATCTACCAGACCCTTCAACTATTATTCTATCGAGTGAGATGCAACAAAATCTTGATATCTAACTACTACTGTATACTGACACTGGATGATTGTGCAATATTCTCCTTTTAATGAGTAAAATCACCTGCCATTAGTCATAATACAACAATAAAGTTTGGGAGCATTGAAGCTAATTACTTAATCTTACTCATCTTAGGCAACATCAATCCAACTATGTAACAAAATACTAATGTGTACAAGCCAATCAAGTCCAACGTATTGTCATTTTTGGATGTTGTAAAACAGTTCATGAAAAGGTCAGTTTCAATTACAGTAGTTTGGATTGTTACCAAAGTACCATTATACAAGAATGATATGAAAATTTTCCTTTAATGGTCCCCCTGGTCCGGCATTTTCAGCCACTTTTTCGATCTCTGAAAAAGGGGCGAAAATCGTCCAAAAAGTAAGGCTATAGCCTTAACTTTTCGTCCATTTTCAGCCACTTTTTCGATTTTTGAAAAAGGGGCGAAAATCGTCCAAAAAGTAAGGCTACAGCCTTAACTTTTCGTCCATTTTTGGCCACTTTTCCATTTTTGAAAAAGGGGCGAAAATCGTCCAAAAAGTAAGGCTATTATTATTATTATTATTATTATTATTATTATTATTATTATTAAAGCTTTTATTTGCATGACCTAGTTACAGGTATTGCTAAACGTATATATATATAAAAAAGTTATAGTAAATAACAACTAATTTTACTGTAGTTACAACATTAAGTGGATAAAGAGATATATACAATAGATAATATATAATAGAAATATAGGAAAATTAGTTAGTATCTCTTGTTTGAAGGCTTTTGTCTCTAATGTTAAAACATTTTGCAATGAATTTTGAAAATAGATCGATTAAAACTGAATCAGTACTTGAAATAACATGACTCAATAAGTTTTGCTTTGACTCTGTTACGAGAGTCATTTGAAAAATGTTTTTCAGCATATTGCTGGAATCATTCCTAATGTTTTCATAATTTTGACATTCGAAGGCAAAGTGAAAAAAAGTAAGGCTATACCCTTAACTTTTCGTCCATTTTTAGCCACTTATGTCATTTTTCATAAGTGGGCCAAAAACGGCAAAAAAGTAAGGCTATAGCCTTAACTTTTCGTCCATTTTTAGCCACTTATATCAGTTTTCATAACTGGGCCAAAAACAGCAAAAAAGTAAGGCTATAGCCTTAACTTTTCGTCCATTTTTAGTCACTTATGAAAAATGACATAAGTGGCCAAAATACAGCAAAAAAGTAAGGCTATACCCTTAACGTTTCGTCCATTTTTAGCCACTTATGTCAGTTTTCATAAGTGGGAAAAAAACAGCAAAAAAGTAAGGCTATAGCCTTAACTTTTCGTCCATTTTTAGCCACTTATGTCAGTTTTCATAAGTGGGAAAAAAACAGCAAAAAAGTAAGGCTATAGCCTTAACTTTTCGTCCATTTTTAGCCACTTATGTCAGTTTTCATAAGTGGGCAAAATACAGCAAAAAAGTAAGGCTATAGCCTTAACTTTTCGTCCATTTTTAGGCACTTATGTCAGTTTTCATAAGTTGGCAGAAAACAGCAAAAAAGTAAGGCTATAGCCTTAACTTTTCGTCAATTTTTAGCCACTTATGTCATTTTTCATAAGTGGGCCAAAAACAGCAAAAAAGTAATGCTATACTTTTTTGCTTTTTTTTTCCCACTTATGAAAACTGACATAAGTGGCTAAAAATGGACGAAAAGTTAAGGCTATATAGCCTTAACTTTGCTACACTTATGTCATTTTTCATAAGTGGGCCAAAAACAGCAAAAAAGTAAGGCTATAATAGCCTTAACTTTTCGTCCATTTTTAGCCACTTATGTCAGTTTTCATAAGTGGGAAAAAAACAGCAAAAAAGTAAGGCTATAGCCTTAACTTTTTGTCCATTTTTAGCCACTTATGTCATTTTTCATAAGTGGGCCAAAAAAAGTAAGGCTATAGCCTTAACTTTTCGTCCATTTTTAGCCACTTATGTCATTTTTCATAAGTGGGCCAAAAAAAGTAAGGCTATAGCCTTAACTTTTCGTCCATTTTTAGCCACTTATGTCATTTTTCATAAGTGGGTCAAAAACAGCAAAAAAGTAAGGCTATATATAGCCTTAACTTTTCCTCCATTTTTAGCCACTTATGTCATTTTTCATAAGTGGGCCAAAAACAGCAAAAAAGTAAGGCTATAGCCTTTACTTTTCGTCCATTTTTAGCCACTTATGTCATTTTTCATAAGTGGGTCAAAAACAGCGAAAAAGTAAGGCTATAGCCTTGACTTTTCCTCCATTTTTAGCCACTTATGTCATTTTTCATAAGTGGGCCAAAAACAGCAAAAAAGTAAGGCTGTAGCCTTTATTTTTCGTCCATTTTTAGCCACTTATGTCATTTTTCATAAGTGGGCCAAAAACAGCAAAAAAGTAAGGCTATAGCCTTAACTTTTCGTCCAATTTTAGCCACTTATGTCATTTTTCATAAGTGGGCCAAAAACAGCAAAAAAGTAAGGCTATAGCCTTTACTTTTCGTCCATTTTTAGCCACTTATGTCATTTTTCATAAGTGGGCCGAAAACAGCAAAAAAGTAAGGCTATAGCCTTAACTTTTCGTCCATTTTTAGCCACTTATGTCATTTTTCATAAGTGGGCCAAAAACAGCAAAAAAGTAAGGCTATAGCCTTTACTTTTCGTCCATTTTTAGCCACTTATGTCATTTTTCATAAGTGGGTCAAAAACACCGAAAAAGTAAGGCTATAGCCCTTGCTTTTCGTCCATTTTTAGCCACTTATGTCAGTTTTCATAAGTGGGCCAAAAACAGCAAAAAAGTAAGGCTATAGCCTTTAGTTTTCGTCCATTTTTAGCCACTTATGTCATTTTTCATAAGTGGGTCAAAAGCGGCGAAAAAGTAAGGCTATAGCCTTTACTTTTCGTCCATTTTTAGCCACTTATGTCATTTTTCATAAGTGGGTCAAAAACAGCAAAAAAGTAAGGCTATAGCCTTAACTTTTCCTCCATTTTTAGTCACTTATTGTCATTTTTCATAAGTGGGTCAAAAACAGGGAAAAAGTAAGGCTATAGCCTTAACTTTTCGCCCATTTTTAGCCACTTATGTCATTTTTATTTTCAATGAGTTGAAGCAAGTTTGGATGGGACGGTCTAGTGGCAAGGACGAAGCGTTGGAAGTAGGAGAGGCCGGGTTTGATTCCCGGTTGCATCGAGAGAGTTTTAAGTCGGGCGTCGTTGTTAATTAATTCCACCCAAGACGGGAAAGGGTTAAGTGGAATAAGAAAGGAGTTAACGTAAGTGTGGACGAGACGGTGTAGTGGTAAGGACAAAGTGTTGCACTTGCGAGAAGCCCGGTTCTATTCCCGGTCGTGTCGAGTGCATTTTAATGTCGGGTGTCGTTGTTAATTAATTCCACCCGAGAGGAGAAAGTGTTAAGTAGAATGAAAAAGAGTTTCAGCAAGTGTAGGCGCGATGGTCTAGTGGTAAGGACAAAGTGTTGCAAGTGTGTGAAGGCAGGTTCGAATCCTGCTGTAGTCAAAAAGCATTTTAATGTCAGGCGTCGTTGTTAATTAATTCCACCCGAGAGGAGAAAGAGTTAAGTAGAATAAAAAAGAGTTACAGCAAGTGTAGGCGCGATGGTCTAGTGGTAAGGACAAAGTGTTGCAAGTGTGTGACCCCAGTTTCGAATCCCGCTGTAGTCAAAAAGCATTTTGGGCCTCAACAAGTGTGTTCATTATAGAGTCGAAGGGAAAATGATTAAGTAGAATAAAAAACATAACCATTTCACCAATAGCCCTGATGGTCTAGTGGTACCTCTATCGCGTGAAAAATCGTGTGGGGGGACAATAGTAGGCGCGTTTGCTGCGCCGAATTTCCAGAGGTTAACACGGAGGAAGTGCTAACAAGATCATAAAAAACCAACCCTTCTTTAAGTAAATTTACTAATAAAAAGGTAAAGTTTTTTTAATAGAAAGTAAAGTTTTTGTGATAAGTGAAGTAAGACAAGTTAGTTACTAAATTTACTTACTTTACTTGAGTTAGTAAGTAAAACTTGACTTACTGACTTACTTTACTTGAGTTAGTAAGTAAAACTTGAGTTAGTAAGTAAAACTTGACTTACTTTACTTGAGTTAGTAAGTAAAACTTGACTTACTAACTTGACTGACTAACTTGACTTGACTTACTAACTTGACTGACTGACTGACCTACTAACTTAACTTACTAACTCGACTTGACTTACTAACTTGACTGACTCACTAACTTGACTTGACTTACTAACTTCTAGTTAAGTAGAATAAAAAAGAAGTTAAAGCAAGTGTAGGCGCGATGGTCTAGTGGTATGGACAAATTGTTGCAAGTGCGTGAAGCCAGGTTCAAGTCGTGGTTGTGCCAAGAGCATTTTAATGCCGGGCGTCGTTGTTAATTAATTCCACCCGAGACGAGAAAGAGTTAAGTAGAATAAAAAAGAAGTTAAAGCAAGTGTAGGCGTGATGGTCTGGTAGTAAGGACAAATTGTTGCACTTGCGAGAAGCCCGGTTCTATTCCTGGTCGTGTCGAGTGCATTTTAATGTCGGGTGTCGTTGTTAATTAATTCCACCCGAGAGGAGAAAGCGTTAAGTAGAATGAAAAAGAGTTTCAGCAAGTGTAGGCGCGATGGTCTAGTGGTAAGGACAAAGTGTTGCAAGTGTGTGAACCCAGGTTCGAATCCTGGTGTAGTCAAAATGCATTTTGGGCCTCGAAAAGTATGTTCATTAATTATAGAGTCGAAGGGGAAAGGATTAAGTAGAATAAAAAACATAACCATTTCACCAATAGCCCTGTTGGTCTAGTGGTACCTTCATCGCGTGAAATATAGTGGTGGGGGGACAATAGTAGCGCGGTTTGGGGCGCCGATTTTCAGAGGTTAACACGGAGGAAGTGCTAACAAGATCATAAAAAACCAACCCTTCTTTAAGTAAATTTCACCAATAAAAAATAAAGGTTTTTTTTACTTACTTGACTTACTTGACTTACTGACTTGACTTACTTACTAAGTAAGTAAGTCAAGTAAGTAAAGTAAAGTAAGTGAAGTAAGTCAAGTAAGTAAATCAGTAAGTCAAGTAAGTAAAGTAAAGTAAGTCAAGTAAGTCAGTAAAGTAAGTCAGTAAGTCAAGTAAGTAAAGTAAGTAAGTAAAGTCAAGTAAGCAGTAAGTAAAAAAAAAAACACTTTATTTTCTATTGGTGAAATTTACTTAAAGAAGGGTTGGTTTTTTATGATCTTGTTAGCATTTCCTCGGTGTTAACCTCTGAAAATCGGCGCCCCAAACCGCGCCTACTATTGTCCCCCCACCACTATATTTCACGCGATGAAGGTATCACTAGACCAACAGGGCTATTGGTGAAATGGTTATGTTTTTTATTCTACTTAATCCTTTTCCCTTCGACTCTATAATTAATGAACATACTTTTCGAGGCCCAAAATGCTTTTTGACTACACCAGTCATTTGTCCTTACCACTAGACCATCTCGCCTACACTTCCTTTAACTTCTTTTTTATTCTACTTAACTAGAAGTTAGTAAGTCAAGTTAGTAAAGTTAGTAAGTAAAGTTAAGTAAGTCAAGTTAGTTAGTAAGTCAAGTAAGTCAAGTCGCCTGACATTAAAATGCTTTTTGACTACAGTAGGATTCGAACCTATAGCTTCACGCACTTGCAACACTTTGTCCATACCACTAGACCATCTCGCCTACACTTCCTTAACTACTTTCTTATTCTACTTAACACTTTCTCGTCTCGGGTGGAATTAATTAACACACACCTGAAATTAAAATAGTTTGGACAATAACAGGGATAGATACTTAGTTCTCCCGACAGCTTGTAATATAACAGTTACATTCACAAATGATAAACATCGGATAAGAAAACAACGGACAAAGACCACTAGACTTCACTTGGTAATATTGACATTGGCCCTAGCAACTTGTTCGTTTTAACGGAAAAACAATCACCGGAAACGGAAGCCCTGAAACGGTAAATCGAAATCCGCAGTATAGACTTCTCGTTCAAATGGACACTGTCTCGTGGCTGTCCTGGCCATTGAGAATTGGCTTAATTTACACATAATTTTCTATATAGTCTTTATGTTGATCTATCTTACTTTTAACATTTGATTATTTTTCTGATTGCTTATTTTTCATATTTATAGAATATTAAGAGAAGATTCTTTTGTATGTTACGTAACACGCGGTAAAAAGTAATGAATAGTACTAGTTGGTTATGACTATATTCGAATTTTATAATTTTTTCTACGTTTCTCGAGCGGCAAACAAACTTAAAAGTATGTTTAGTGCTTTATCTGTAAAATTATGTTAAAATGAAGAGATTTTAGATGATACGATGATGTCTGAAGTTCATAAAATGCCGTTTCAGAGAATTGAAAGATCATAATAAAAGATACATTGGCTTTTGGAAGCAGGGTATTGATAGAACGTCATCAATACCGACGCCATATTGCTATATATGTAGTTTATCCAAGGCCATCCATGTCCAAAGAAAAGTTGATGACTTCCAACTTTTTTCGGGCCGATACGTGCAAACTGTCAAATTATGAATAACATGACTACATACAAAAGCCACTCGAGTTGATCTCTTAAGAGTTAGATCAATGAAGTTTTCCCGCCCCCCCAAACGACTCTTCCAAGCACAGTCACCTGTTGTTTGACAGGGCCGTAAAATGCGTCAAAACCGTTCTTATACCGATGGATATGGGCGGGAAACAGACATTTACTTTTCCATTGATGAGTAAAGTCATCTGGGGCCGGTTGTATAAAAAAGTGATTAAAGTTAACTATAATTAAGTGCAAACGTCATCCAATAAGAAGCGCGTATTTGAGAGTTAATCACTATTTTACTACAAAATAGTGATTAAAGAAGTGATTAAGAGTTTTATACAACCGGCTCCAGGTGTTAAACCGAGTCAACATTGCCGGTAGATATAAAGCCGGTTACATGCAGACGGACACGTTTTCTGTGATAAGCTGAGGGAAATTTTATGTTGGTAAAAATGTTCCTGATCCAACCATGAAAAAGTTTAAAAAAATTACCCAACCTCGAATATCAATTAAAGAATAAATACCCACCCCTGGCCAAAAACTTTACAAAAGGATGCCATTCAGTTGTCACACATATCCTTTACCACTTCTGTGACATGAGTTTGATAACTGCTTGTGCAATTTTCTGCAGTCTAAAGTTTCATGTTGTCTTTGGGGACAGCATTTGCCTTATCGGATAGTGACTCTGATTGATTGATTTACATATTGTATTGACATATGACTGTTGACATTGCTTTTTAGTCTTCAATATTTGAGCGAGTCATGCTTTGGCAATGACATTAAATTTTTATTACCGAACCCTTGAGTTGTTTTGTTTTTCATTTACCAATATCTTTTCTTCAAAATATAGTTTTGCTTACTCAATCCTTCTCTCTTCGGTGCCATCGCCCGCCATTAATAATGACTCCGTTAATTTCGGGGAGTTAATTTAACTGCACTAAAACTACAGTTTTAACTAAAGATTTAAGACGGTTAGTTTCAAACTGATTCTGTCGGAGGATTTTTTCGACTATAGCTAGTAAGTAGTATAGCTAGTAGGTAGTATAGTTAGTAAGTAGTATAGCTAGTCAGTAGTATAGCTAGTAACTAGTATATTTAGTAAGTAGTATAGCTAGTAACTAGTATATCTAGTAAGTAGTATAGCTAGTAACTAGTATATTTAGTAAGTAGTATAGCTAGTAAGTAGTATAGCTAGTAACTAGTATATTTAGTAAGTAGTATAGCTAGTAACTAGTATAGCTAGTAGGTAGTATAGTTAGTAAGTAGTATAGTTAGTAAGTAGTATAGTTAGTAAGTAGTATAGTTAGTAAGTAGTATAGCTAGTAAGTAGTATAGTTAGTAAGTAGTATAGCTAGTAAGTAGTATAGCTAGTAACTAGTATAGTTAGTAAGTAGTATAGCTAGTAAGTAGCATAGCTAGTAAGTAGTATAGCTAGTAACTAGTATAGTTAGTAAGTAGTATAGCTAGTAGGTAGTATAGCTAGTAACTAGTATAGCTATAGTAATTAGTATAGCTAGTAACTAGTATAGCTAGTAAGTAGTATAGCTTGTAAGTAGTATAGCTAGTAAGTAGTATAGCTAGCCCTTTTTGTCAATAATGTTACATGTTATTAGTGTTCTATTCATTGTAATATATTGGGCGAATCTCAAACTAAAAAAAACACATCACGTGTCAGAGTGATATAAATGAATGAAGTAGCCACGGCGATATTTAATACGTTGAAAAATATTTACCGTCTCTTAGGCTGAGATCTTACATACTTTTTAAACTTGAAGATTGAAGAAATTTAAAAAACTTTCGCCTCATGTAGGCGCCCGGCAACGAACTTAGCATTTTTCTTAATTTGAATAATTTCATTTTCTTTTCTTCATATCGAGAAGCTATAAAGTACAGTCACTGAATTCCAAAAATATTCTACGGTAGAATTGAATGACAACGAATATAATTGGTGTATACTTTTATTGGAATATAGGCTACTACGTTTATTAATTTCAAAACTATAGCTCGGATTTTATCGGTGACAGTGTGCATGTTAATATACTATACTTTTGAAGGCAATTGAATTTCATTATGAATTAAGTAAACGTTTCTTCGTACGTCGTAAACAACTTGACTGAAGTACTTTTATGACTGAAAATTTTTATTCATGCAAAGCCTTATCAAATTTTTCCTAAACCCTTCCAGGTCCTTAAAACGTGACTGAAATTTATTGTTCAATATATACACAGCTTGCATGTTCATCAATATTTGTTTACGTATAGTTAAACTCGCTCTTTAAATATACCTGTTAGCACGAGGCCCTACTCAATTCTGATTGGCTGATCTGAGGCGTCGACGTCTCTGATTGGCTAATGGGTGGCATCAATTAATTCGCTGAAAACACTTGCGACTCGAATTAAATATCGTAAATTTAAGCTATTGCATATATGAGCTTATATTATACGCCATTGTGAGGCTATTATACGCAATACAGCTCGGGAAATTGCTTTTGTGGATACAAAATGTTATAATTTATCAAAATGTGATACTTAGTCGGCCTTGTATTATTTATGGCGACTGAAAAATGGGCTAGTTTTAATGTAGATGAGTTATTCAGTTCCTGCGATTTGGACAAGTCAGGTTACATCGACAGACATGAATTAGCTGCCGTTTGCGACCTAAACGACCAAGATTTAAATGAAATATTCTGCCAGCTCGACTTGGACAACGATGGACGAATTAGCGTCGAAGAGTTCTCGAAAAATTTTCAAAGTTTTAGCGATGTTGTCGCCGAATTAAAGTCGACAAAACAAATCGATACGGAAAATTCAAAAAGTCGCAAAGCGGGATTGGCTGCGTTTAAGAACGAATTGGGGCTCGACTCTGCACTTTTTCCGAGGTAAGATATGGTTTCGTTTTAGCTCTGTAGATAAATTATAGAAATGAATCAAGTTTTGAGCGACTTTAAGGCATTTTACAAGCGGAGTTTATGCTGTTTTACTTTTAAAGCGATGACTCAGGTATATGCATGCGTGTGGTTATAGCCGAATTGTAACTTTTTCACACCAAAGACCGCTTCGCGCCTCTAATTAAATTGCCCGTAATTTGCGCGAATAAATTCCGTTTCACAATTTCCCGGCTGCGGTTCATTCAACACGAAGGTTTATCCCGGAAGCTATAAAAGCTATATTTCACTGTCAGTTTCAAATTGAATATATATATTTACGATATATATATACCATGTGACTTTTACAAGGCGAAATCTTCTAAATGGAGCTTCAATTGAAACACTTTTCCCTTTTCAAAATACACAAGTTATATATAATATACGGCTATTTGAAAAAGGTTTACTATACGAAAGCTACATACTGTATTTTATTGTCATGATTTTAAGTTGGATATATGTAAGACTGCAGCTTTGCCTGACAAATATGACTAAAAGCGTTTGTGAACTATATGCAGAAACCATATACGGCGTTTTTGAAATGCTGTTCATTTATATACTAGGCTATATAGGAAAATACGCAAGCACTTCAAAAGCAATAAACCCAAGTGCCTTGTCTGTGCCAATAAAGTTATTTCAATTCCTACTATGATATTTTTAACCTGACTGAAATATGAGCATCTTTCCGAAATTATTAAAAACTTAAATTAGGCGAGCAGGTAGTTGACAGGTAGTCAAGTATGCACACAAATTATGAAACGTAAAGCAAGAACGATTTATATATCATTACATTCGCCAAATTCGACTGTTTTGATTAAATGTCGGAGCTAAACCGCATTTTAAGTGCTAAAGGTTAAGTTCTCGAAGTTTTAAGCAGTTTTTATCTTTTTTTTTGCAAAAAACCGTCAACGAAAAGTCATTTTAAATTAAAATACATTATGGGTCGGCTGACTTTTTTAAATTAAACACATGCAATAGTTAATGTTTACATTGTATGCTTATATTTAAAGAAATATATATTGTCATTTTCCGCGGTCCGATATATGTTAAGCAAGGTCGATGTAGAATTTTCTTTATTGCCAGGAGAAATTTAACTCGTCTCATCCACTATAAGACTTTTGCATTGACATGTAAAATCGTCTGGTATTATAGGCAGAATAAATACTTTGGTCATATACGATCAATATACAACAAACAAAAGTAAAAATATAGTGTTTAACTAGCTACTACATTCTCTGTGCCGTGTATATAGTTTAAATAATAAAATACTAAATTGACCGGCTATCGCTTTTATATAACCGATGCGAAAAATATATTAAAAGTAACAATTTCTAGTTAACACTTTTGAAACAGAAATGAAAATGGAATACGTCAAATATACGCGTGGGCTTTAATTTTAGTTTTTTCGTTATTGTAATATCACTGCATGGTTACTAAGTCGATTGAAGAGTTTAAAAGAATTCACGTCCTATCACTTTCTATATAGTACAATATGCTGACGAAATTCGTGGCTGAACTTCATGAGAAAGATATATTGAAAATCTTTTAGTTCTGACCGGCATGCATGTCAGTTATTAATTTACCTTGGAAATCACATGATCACCAGAAATATTCGATATATATCTCCATCTGTGGGGTCTAGTGTAGCTGGTAGTGTTCTAAAATAAGCTGTCGTGGTTTGTGTCTGAACTACCTGAAAAAGATATCTCAAACGTGGTGGTCCAGTGTAGGTAGTATTCTACAATAAGCTGCCGTGGTTTGTGTCTGAAGTGCCTGAAAAAGATATCTCAAACGTGGTGGTCCAGTATAGGTAGTATTCTACAATAAGCTGCCGTGGTTTGTGTCTAAACTACATGAAAAAGATATCTCAAACGTGGTGGTCCAGTGTAGGTAGTATCACAGAATAAAGACATACAGAAGGTCGACTCGAGTAACCGCTACCACGCCATGATTCATCATCAAAATGCTGACGCCATGCACGGTCCTAGCCAGTGCGCCTATGAAAGGCATTACCCCCCTGGACGTCCGCCATTTTGAATATTTTCAGGGGGTGAATACCTTTCAAACGCGCACTGACTAGATCCATGGCGTCAGCATTTTGATCACGAATTACGGTTACGCCAAAATCATCGAAAAATTATAGGAAAAACCAAGAAGTCGGCCTTCTGTGTTCTGTGGTAGTATTCAATAAGTTGTGTCGTGGCTTGGGCCTGAACTACCTGAAGTGGATATCTCAAAAATTTGTTGTTGAAACAGATTATTGAATAAGCTTTTCCCGCCATAAAAATATTTCTCATTCCAAGAATTCGATTGGCTAGCTCTACTTGATTCTAATTGGTTAATTTCAACATTAAATTTACAATCAAGGCAAGCAGCCCTTTTCATCACACGAAAATATGACAAGACGGAATGACAGGCCTGACATTTTTATCGTGGGAGCACACGACAGCTCTGTAGTAAATTTACAGCTGTATGTGCAAAGCTCTTATACAATACGTCATTTTAAGATGATCTGTTTGTTAATATCTAGTAAAATCTACGTGCACAAACAAATATAGTCGAACGAAATGAACTCGAAATGGCACATTTCCGCAATTGTTAATATAGTCGACTGTGTTTCGTGCATTATATATCATTGCCTGAAGCGGAGTGAAGTAGTGTTTGAAAATTCAAGAGCCAACAGATCTTTCAAATAAATAACTTTTTATCTAAAGGAAAACTATAGTCTTTCCGAAGTATCCATTGCATGAATTAAACACAGTTTAGGAAGCCTGGTTTGCCAGAAAGCTAACGAGAGTGGAATGAATATTTCAGTGTTTATTTATGCGTGTTTTTATCCCACCTATAATATCCAGTTTTGGTGGGAGGACATTACGACTTTAATTAATAGTCGCCGTTTAGTTCTATTAATATTTTCCTTTGTTTGTATTTTCTAACCATAAGTCTTCAATACTATATTATAGTTCAATCTCAATACTATATTATAGTTTTATATTATAGATCAAAATCGGAAAAAGATTTGAGTATGATGAGAGTAATGCGTATGAGTGTAATATAGTTTAAATATTAGTAGAAATTTTATTCTAACGATCTAAACACCGTATAGGTTTTTTTCCAGCCGCTCATCTTGTGATAACACTGAATCAATATTACAATAAGTTATGGCCGTTGCCGGTCCTCTATCGTTTGGCAGTTTAGACCTTATACGGCTATATCCATGAGTAATAAATAAAGTTAGTTTAGTTTAGGTTTTCTCCTGTAGTAACCGACGTATCACGTATCGATCAATAAGAGATGATTTTTACTGAACCTCTATAGGAAGAATAGTTTAGAACTGATAGAGCTATCCAGTATAAATAAAGTTGGTTTAGTTTAGATTTGCTTCGGTAGTAATACTGGATCAATAAGAGATGATCCTTACTGGACCTCTAGGAAGAACAGTTTAGAACTGATAGAGCTATCCAGTATAAATGAAGTTAGTTTAGTTTAGGTTTCCTCCTGTAGTAACACTGGATCAATAAGAGATGATTCTTACTGGACCTCTATAGGGAGAACAGTTTAGACTATTGATGGAGCTATATCCAGTATAAGTAAAGTTAGTTTAGTTTAGGTTTCCTCCTGTAGAACGTATTACTGGATCAATAAGAGATGATCCTTACTCGACCTCTAGGAAGAACAGTTTAAAACTGAGTGATGATCCTTACTGGTAGACAATTATATTTTGAACGAACGGGGAAATTGATCGGAAAAACTTGTTCGTCAAAGCATGTAAACTTGTCAAGAAATTTGTGAAGGAAAACTTTCTCGTCTGTAAGAATTTTATACGTGTATGCAAGCATCTTTCGTGAAGATGTTTGGAAATAGGTCATTGCAATGTCAAGTATAGGAATTATGGGAAGTACGATACAAAGAAAACTTCTCTTGTTATTAACGTAGCAACGTAATTAGACAAAAGAGCTTCTTATAAACTGAAAGTATTCAGCATGAGGGTCGAATATTCCTGACCATCTCCATAACGACTAACACTGTTTGAAGTACTTCATGGACACTGTGGAAATTTTATTTTGAAATTACCGGGGGAAAGGCTAGAATAAGATCCAATTTCCAGTGTAAACAAAGTTAGTTTAGTCTAGGTTTCCTTGGGTAGTAACCTTGAATCAATAATGGTTGACCCTATTAATTGGACCTCTAGGAAGAACAGTTTGGAACTGATAGAGCTATCCAGTATAAATGAAGTTAGTTTAGTTTAGGTTTTTCATCCTGTAGTTACACTGGATTAATAAGAAATGACTCTTACCGGACCTCTAAAGAGAACACTTTAGAACTGATAGAACTTTCCAGTATAAATAAAGACAATCATTTTACCTTTAAATGGGATTAATGATTTCCTCTATCCGACACAGTCACCGGGTAAACAATTACAAAACTATTTCAACTATTCTCCAGAACAAAAAGCTTAATACCTTGATTCCAAAGGTACGTGGGCCTAATTATCTTTCATGTTTCCCAAATCACAGCTTAATTTGCAAGGTAGACAAACCTTTTTGAATTTTTGAGTTCATTTCACACATGAGCGATTCTCCTTTTGTCTACAATAAACTCGGCTTGCCAAATAAGGATTGAGGCACTCAAACGGTTAAGCACAGTTAGCAACTTCAATTGGCGATATTGTCAACAAAAAACGTACAGAAACTTGTGTGATATCGTTCGGCAGTTGTGGTGAAGTTCGTTGTATGTTTTTAAACGGTTTTTGTGGGTAAAATGGGTATTTTTATTGTGTAAATTTGTTTGTGAACCATGGAATTCGAGACGCCTAGCAAAGAAGCTTTGGTTCGCCTAGTGCAGAAATGCTTGAGCCAGAATAGTGAGGGTTTCATCGAGCGAGATCAATTCATCGAGTTCTGCTCCGATTTAAGCGTCAGCACAGACGAACTGGACAGCGTTTTTAACGAATTAGACAATGACAGAGATGGTAGAATCAATGTTAGCGATTTTACTTCGACTTTTGAACAAGTAGCGACTTTTAAATCTGATAATACGAGCGGCGAAACAGTGAATGGTCTTGTTGTCGATAAATCATTATACGAATGTCAAGTGAACAATCTAGAGAGCCCAATGCAAGTTATCAGTACGAACGGGTATGTATAGAATTAGAAGGCATGAAATTCATGAATTGTGTTTATATCATGGTCAATTTACAACGTGATGGTGTTTATAAAATTATTCAACAGGCTGCTGTGGTTTTGTCTGAACTCCTGAAAAGGATTAAAGTTCGGTGAAATTTTTGCAGTACAAGCTATTCCTTAGCGGATTGCGGCTATATTTAAGGTGGTACAGACACGAACTACGGCAGCTTATTAATATTATGGTCCTTTTATCGAAACTTAAGCTAACCACAGGAAATATTACTGAGTCTGTATTTACCTAAGTTCATGTAAACCTGTAATGCAAATCCAGTCCTTCAGCATCGGATGATGACTTTCAATTTAATTATTTTGGTTTCATTTTAATAATTTTCGTAGTTTCAGTTAGTAATGTTAGTTCTCAAGGCTTAACCGACTTTTAGAAATCCAGGAATATTACCTGACATATGTCGTGAATTAACACTCGTCGCGGTGCTTGTTTGAACGCTTGCTTCTCAGCGGGGAATTGAGATATTAATCTCGCTGGCAAGTTGACATGGTTGCTTTGTAATGAGTAGAAATATGTCTTCTTCGTAATAGTCTTTCGCTAGTCAAAACTTTAGAACGGTTGGCAATTGGTTCAACCGTAGATTATATCGCTTTATAGATTAATTTTCAAACTGTTCGTTCACATGCAACGCGTCGATGTAGTGTCTAGAATGTACACACAGCTCCGGGTGTTAAAGACATATGCAATGTAGGCTTTCAAAATGACGTGCGTCGAAGATTTAAAACCACGCCATTAACATTTTTGAGGGCAATTATTTCGAGATATATGCGCTATTAATATGCCATTACATATATACAGGCCATAACATGTACTAAACTAACTTTATTTATTTATTTATTTATTCTGGAAAGCTCTATCACTTATTTAAAACTGTTTTCCCTAGAGGTATACGTCCACTACAGGAGGAAACCTAAACTAACTTTATTTATACTGAATAGCTCTATCAGTTCTAAACTGTTCCGCTTCTCAGTGGAGATTATATTTCGGTAAGAACTATCTCTTATTGATCCAGTGTTCCTGCAGGATCCGAAACTTGAACTAAACTAACTTTATTTATACTGGATAGCTGTATCTGTGCTAAACTGTTCTTTCTAAAGACTACGATTATCAGTTCAAAACAGGACTTCCTAATCTCCTAGAGGACGCAAATGGGAAAAAGTGACAATGGGAAACCTTTTCTCAAGTACACGAGAATATCATATATCAGATAAGAATCAGAACAATCTCACGTACGTAGCAAAATCATGTCACTTGAGAATATCTCATTATTTCACATTTTGGAAAGAGTTAAATGTTCGGCAATACGTCACTCCATTGTCACTGACGCATTTATGGGAATTATCTGCAGTAAGGTGTGGTATATAAAAAAGAAACGTTTTTCTGTATAAAAATAGCAACGTAATTATAGACAATTTAAAGGGTTTTTATATACAATAGTTACAGAATTAAAATATCAGTCATGATCAGAATAAGGAACGAATATTCTAGACTATTTTTATAGGCTACGTTTTTATTTCCATAACAAGTATAAGACTGGAAAATTTGAAGAACTCAATTATCATCTAACTTTATTTATACTGGATAGCTCTATCAGTTCCAAGCTGTTCTCCCTAGAGATCCTGCAGTAAGGATTATCTCTTATTGATCCAGTGTTACTGCAGGAGAAAACCTAAACTAAACTAACTTTATTTATACTGGATAGCTCTATCAGTTCTAAACTGTTCTCCCTATAGAGGTCCATTAAGGATCGTCTCTTATTGCCCGGTGTGGATATACACTCAGAGTAACATCACAAGCATCAGTTTTAAACTAGTTAAACTGTTCTCCCTGGAGGCTAGAGGTCCAGTAAGGATCGTCTCTTATTGACCAGTGTTACTACAGGAGGAAACCTAAACTGAACTAACTTTATTTATACTATAGCTCTATCAGTTCTAAACTGTTCTTTCTAGAGATCCAGTAAGGATCATCTCTTATTGATCCAGTGTTACTGCAGGAGAAAACGTAAACTAAACTAACTTTATTTATACTGGATAGCTCTATCAGTTCTGAACTGTTCTTCCTAGAGGTCCAGTAATGATCATCTCTTATTGATCCAGTGTTACTGCAGGAGAAAACGTAAACTAAACTAACTTTATTTATCATGGATAGCTCTGTCAGTTCTAAACTGTTCTCCTTTGAGGCATATGGTTGCAGAGGTCACTTTGGTCAATAAACGATTTAGGTCAATAAACGTATGCGTGTTTAAACTATTAATGCTTTGCCAGCCCACAGCTGGATACTAAATTTGTATGGAAACCGTTATTGAAAACAAACAATCGCATGTGGAATTGTAAATTAGACATTATTTAAATAACAATCATTGCGTGTATATATAGCCAAGACATTCGCACGAACGCCAATTTTGTGGTAATGTAGGCTTATTTCGCATGTTATGGCGCATGGTATAATTTGCCCAGGGTAGTTCAAATATTCAGCGTCCAAGTGGTCTTTTTCTAATTTGAGAAAAATATGGGCAAATAGTTTGAGAAATTTATAGCATGGTTGTTTAATAGAAAAATTATATGAATTATAACATATAAAACTGTTTATGATCCAAAAATCCGTATTAATTCGGCTGCATTTCGTGAATTTTGTTAATTTCTAGCCGATATCAGGATGCTTGTTCCCAGTTGTTGTGACAAGTCTGGAACAAGTTGTTATCACCTTGTTACAAGGTTGATGATGGTAACAGACTTGCTACAAGTTGTTCCAACAAGACTAATACAGGCTGTTCGTAACAAGTTGCTACGAGCTTGTTGTCATCAACTTGTTAACAACTTGTTACGTGCAGACGATATCAGACTTGTTGGAACAACTTGTTGAGAGTCTGTTGGCCTCGTTACACACGTAAAAACGCACAAGTTGTTACAGGTCTGCAAACAAGTTGTTACAAATCTGTTCACAAGCTGTCGACAAGTTGTGTTCGCACTGCTTGTTCCCAGTTGTTGTAACAAGTTTGGAACAAGCTGTTAACAACTTGTAACAAGCTTGATGGCATGATCAGACTTGTTACAAGGTTTTTCTAACAATTCTGATAAAGTCATGATATAACAAGAATGTTACAAGGTTGATGACACAAGGTTGTAACAATATTGTTATATTATGACTGTATCGGGCTTGTTGGAACAACCTTGCAACAGGTACGATAATATCAACAAGGTTGTTACAAGTTGTTAACAGCTTGTTCCAAACTTGTTGACAACTTGGGACAAGCAGTGCGAACACAACTTTGTTGACGGCTTGTTGGCAGACTTGCTACAAGATGTGAGATTTTTGCGTGTGTAGGTGTCAACATTCACTGTCAACGACCTGTTCAATTTTTCATTCCTTAAATAAAAATTAACAATAAAAATTATTTATTTTCTATCAATTTATAGCCAACAGTACATATCAGAACTCTATTACAATCTCACGAATTCGAACCAGCCAGACCTCCTCGATCTTTTTGAGAAACACTTGGCAAGCGTCGTAAAGGACATCAAGGCCAAAGCCGCCGAAAATCAGAGATTGGAAGACGCTTTGAAAAGGTATGGTGCTACTGGAATCGTTGAGTACTTAGGGGGTGGGTTCTTTGCTCCACTCGTCTTTACTTAGAGGGCAAAGTGGCCTTTCAACACTTGTAAACATTGATGTAATCTTTGTATATTTCTACAACAGGGCAACAAAACAACATGCAAGGCAAGTCAATAACTTGGACAGGGAGGTCGAACAGCAAATGGAAAAGTTGGAAGAAAAAGTTCGCCAGGAGGTGAGCATCGTATGCTTAATTTATATATACCGTTATCATCTCTTATTGATTCAGTGTTGTTACAGGAGGAAACCTTTACACTTTATTTATACTGGATAGCTGTATTAGTTATATAAACTGTTCTTAATCCTAAAGGTCCAGTAAGGATCATCTCTTATTGATCCAGTGTTACTGCGGGAAGAAACCTAGACTAAACTAACTTTATTTATACTGGATAGCTCTACCAGTTGTAAACTCTTCTTCCTAGAGGTTCCGTAAGGATCATCTCTTATTGATCCAGTGTTACTACAGGAGGAAACGTAAACTAAACTAAGTTTATTTATACTGGATAGCTCAATCAGTTCTAAACGGTTCTTCTTAGATATCTTATTGATTCAGTGTTTCTACAGGAAGAAACCTAAACTAAACTAACTCTATTCATACTGGATTCTATCAGTTCTAAACTGTTCTTCCTAGAGGTCCAGTAAGGATTATCTCTTATTGATCCAGTATTACTACAGGAGGAAACCTAAACTAAACTAATTTTATTTACACTGGATAGCTAGCGCTCTATCAGTTCTAAACTATTATCCTTAGAGGTCCAGCAAGGATCATCTCTTATTGATTAAGTGTTACTACAGGAGGAAACCTAAACTAAACTAACTTTATTTATACTATCATCTTAATCCTTTCTCTTTCTCGCTTAGGAAAAGTCTTCCTACGAGAAGAAACTATCCGACTTCGAATGGCAACTGGAAAGCAAGGACAAAGAAATCTCGGCCATGAATAAAACGATTGATACTCTTCAAACGCGACTCGACAAAGAAGCGAAAAAACCGAATTTTCGCCGCGAGGAAATGGAAAATACGGCACAAGAGAACAGATACTTAAAAAGTCAAGTCACTGACTCACAGACTACACTCGCGTTGCTTCGTAGCGAGCTTGCTGAACTTAAAAGCCAGTTTGTCGAGCAGTCAGATCAGCTGCAAAAGGAACAAATGACGGCACAGTCTTCTGTTCACGAGCAGGAAAACTTAGCGCGGCAATTACAGTTGCTGTACGAAGCGAATCAAAGACTGCAGGATGTTAACGATGAATTAAGGGGCGCTCTCGAAGTGAGGAAAAATTTGAGTCCGGAGAGAAAGACCAGCTGTGAAGTTTTGAGGTTGTCTGGCGTTTTTCCTGATCCGACTGGGTAAGCTTTAATATCAGCCATTGTTGTAACGAGTCGTGAGTAACAGTCCCAAGTGACTCAACTCGGACTCGACTTCAAGCCCCAAATGACTCGCGTCAACTCAGCTACAACTTGTTCAGGATAAATCCATCAAGAATATTGTAGTTGAATAGGTTAGGAAGAGTCCTGAAAGGACTTGAAGAAATATTAAGATATAATTGTCCGTACAAATATGGGCATCTTTCCTCTTGTAGAGAAATTTTTGTTCACCTTTTTGTCCACCATACAATTCGTGTAGCCATAGCCATTGACTCGATTCGACCAGATAGTGGAATCGATTCGACCAGACAGTGGACTCGTGACTCGACCTGGGGCCGGTTGTATAAAAAAGTGATTAAACTATAGTTAGTGGAAACGTCATCCATTAGGAAGCGCGTATTTGAAAGTTAATCGCTATTTAACTACAAAATAGTGATTAAAAAAGTGATTAAGAGTTTTATACAACCGCCCCTGTTGGTGACTCGTTACAACACTCATATAATCTCAAACTGTCGGCAGAACTTATTTCGCTGACCTCAGAATGACATTTCGTCAAACCGATTTTCTTCAAGATTGGTTCGGTTAGGGTTAGGGTTAGCGTTGGTGTTTGGAATAGAGTTAGTAAAACCGTTGCTTTGTTACGTTTTGTCACTCTGAGGCCAGCGAAATAACCTCTAATTCCCAAACTGTCTGTGCCGATGTACGCAGTGTCGTCAACATTAAGAAAGCTTTGTATTGATACGGATGCAACTTTCTGTAAACTACAAGGAGTATTTTGACGTTTCGAGCGAAGGCATTACGTCTGGACCATAGAGGATCGGTCGTCATCTATGACCGGGGGGGGGGAGGCACCGAAGATAAAAGGGTTGGGTAAACACATATGCAAACGGAGATGAATGACAATATAATTATCCAATTAAATTTTTTTGTAGAAATCCTGAGTTCTCTTCCAGTTTGAAATGTTCCAATACGTTTCCGCGCAATGCAACGCCGCCACTCGTGTCCAGACTCCCTGAAGGCACGGACTATAATGATAATACGTTTAACGAAGATTCGTTGTTCTCCGAGATACATCGGGCAAGCACGGTGAGAATTTCAGCAAGTACATACAAATACGGTGTTAGTAAAACTGTCGTAATTTTACACCAGCCACCTTAATAATTAATTTTTTTTGTAACAAAAATGCTTGTCGCTACATTCTATGACTTTATAAGCTTTCTAGTGATATATAGTTTTACATAGTTTGCATAGATACTCTGCATGTTATAATTCAATGTAAAATGGCATACGTTTTAGGTTAGGTTCCCCCTTAATTAAGTGTCCACCATAAATACACACCAGCCACCTTAAGTACTCGCCACAAGTACACACTAGCCATCTTAAGTTGCCATCATCAGTACACACCAGCCACCTTAAGCACCAACCGTAATTACACTCCAGCACATACATAAGTACCCGCCTTAATTACACACCAGCCACCTTAAGTACCCGCCATAATACACACCAGCCACCTTTAATACCCGCCAAAAGTGCACAACAGTCACCTTAAGTACCCGACGTAAGTACACACCAGCTACCTTAAGTGCCTGTTGGCAATACACGCCGGCCACCTTTAGTTTACATATCAATACGTACCGTTATTTATAATCTCACAACTTGTCAACAGGATGTGTTCGCACTGCTTGTTCCCAGTTGTTGTGACAAGTCTGGAACAAGTTGTTATCATCTTGTTATAAGGTTGATGACGGTAACAGACTTGCCACAAGTTGTCCCAACTACACACGTTAAAACGCACAAGTTGTTACAAGGATGTTGCTTGTTCCCAGTTGTTGTAACAAGTTTGGAACAAGCTGTTTAACAACTTGTAACAAGCTTGATGGCATTATCAGCCTTGTTACAAGACTTTGCCAACAAGTTTGTTACAGCCATGATATAACAAGGATGTTACAAGATTGTCAACACAAAGTTGTAACAATCTTGTTATATCAAGCATGTAACGGACTTGTCAAAACAACCTTGCAACAAGTCTGATAATTTCGACAAGGTTGTTACAAGTTGTCAACAAGTTGCTCCAAACCTGTTGACAACTTGTGACAAGCAGTGCGAATACATCTTGTTGACGGCTTGTTGGCAGACTTGTTACAAGATGTGAGATTTTTACGTGTGTAATACAGGCTGTTCGTAACAAGTTGCTACGAGCTTGTTGTCATCAACTTGTTAACAACTTGTTACGTGCAGACGATATCAGACTTGTTGGAACAACTTGTTGCGAGTCTGTTGGCCTCATCAACCTTGTTACAAGATGATAACAACTTGTTCCAGACTTGTCAACAACTGGGGACAAGCAATGCGGACACATCTTGTTCAGAAACTGATTGATCATTTATACTTACTTTTAAACAGACGCATATAAACACAGATGGACAAACTGTCAACGAAACAAATACGGCAAGCGACGACAACGCTACGAACACTCACGACAACGATAAATACAAACTAACCTTTACCAAAACTGACGTTAACAACCCAAGTCAACATCCCGAAAAACACAACCCTTTGGCGAAAATAATGAATGCACTTGCAACTCGAAATAACAGCAGAAAACCTTTTTTCAAATTCACTAAATTCGACCAAAGCAAGGAACATTCCTCCAATGTATTGGATGAACAATGTGCTGGTTTTAGTAGCACGGATTCTTTAACCGCTAAATTTAGTAGTTGTGATGATTTAATTGAATGTTCGTATGGAGAATTTGAAACAGATCTCATGACTCGTTATAACCCTATTTCGTCCTCAGATTCATTTGCTCAGTTGAATGAGTTTTTATACGCTGAGGTAACTAATAATTTAGAGAATACGAAATTCAGAATTATAGACCTGTATGACAGGGAATTACTACTTTTATTGGTTTCTACTTTCATCCCAAACGTAATCCGTTCTAAACTGTTCTCTCTACAGGGTGTATAAAAAAAAACTGAACCCTTTCAAATTCAAATTAGCTATAACGTATTGTAGTAATTTGACAGCTCTAATTGCTTTGAATTAATGGTTGGGTAAGAACACAAGGTCTTGTACTCATGGGACAAAACTCTTAAAACCTTTTAAATTTTCTAATTTTTATTTCTTTGAGTTTCGTCCCATGAGTACAAGACCTTGTATTCTTACCCAACCATTAATTCAAAGCAATTAGAGCTGTCAAATTACTACGTTATAGCTAATACGTTATAGCTAATTTGAATTTGAAAGGGTTCAGTTTTTTTTTATACACACTGTAGAAGTCCGGTAGGATCATATCTTATTTTATTGATCCAGTGTCACTACATGGGGAAACATAAACTAAACTAATCTAAAATTGTATTGGATGGTTTTATCAATTATAAACTGAACTAACTTTGTTCTAAGGTTCTAAACTATTCTCGCTAAAGTGGTCCAACAAGGATCATAACAGATTAGATTAAATAGAAACAAGCTACCCAAAGAATGAATGTACTATCTATTTAATTTCTATATACTTTCCAGCCATACAAGTCGGATTCTGTCGACGAGGATGATGACGAAGCGTATGGCACGATGTCCAAATCAAGAAAAACCGAAGTTCAAAGACAAATACAAATACTGGAGTAAGAAATTCGTAAAATTTATTCAATAACAACATTTATTTTCACATTCAAACACAACCGATCACGAAGAGAATGTGTATTCACGATGTGTATTCTCGTTATTTTTTTTTAGGGACACAAATAAGCGACTTAGTTCAAGTAATGATGAATTAAGAGTTGCTCTGAAGGTAAGGTCACTTATTATTTTCTCGGAATAATTACGGTTTCAGTTTCGTTACCAGAATTCCCGGAATATACCCCGGCTTGGCTACACACGTATAAAAACGCACAAGTTGTTACAGGTCTGCAAACAAGTTGTTACAAATCTGTTCACAAGTTGTCGACAAGTTGTGTTCGCACTGCTTGTTCCCAGTTGTTGTAACAAGTTTAGGCTTGTCACAAGGTTGTTCTAACAAGTCTGATACAGTCATGATATAGCAAGAATGTTACAAGATTGAGGACACAAGGTTGAAACAATATTGTTATATCATGACTGTATCGGACTTGTTGGAACAACCTTGAAACAAGTTTGATAATATCAACAAGATTGTTACAAGTTGTTAACAGTTTGTTCCAAACGTGTTGACAATTTGGGACAAGCAGTGCGAACACAACTTGTTAACGGCTTGTTGGCAGACTTGCTACAAGATGTGAGATTTTTACGTGTGTACAACGGCGTAAAAATCTTACAGCTTGTCAACAAGATGTGTTCGCACTGCTTGTTCCCAGTTGTTGACAAGTCTGGAACAAGTTGTTATCATCTTGTAACAAGGTTGACGAGGCCAACAGACTCGCTACAAGTTGTTCCATGCAACAAGTCTGATATTGTCTGCACGTAACAAGTTGTTAACAAGTTGATGACAACAAGCTCGTATAGCAACTTGTTACGAACAGCCTGTATTAGTCTAGTTGGAACAACTTGTAGCAAGTCTGTTACCGTCATCAACCTTGTAACAAGATGATAACAACTTGTTCCAGACTTGTCACAACAACTGGGAACAAGCAGTGCGAACACATCCTGATATCTGCTTCACAACAACCTTGTTACAATTTGTTTACAGATCAGGAACAAACTTGCGCGTTTTTACGTGCAGTCTAGTTGATATTGATTTGGGCATGCAGGGCATTTTTTAACTATATAACTGGGGGGGG